CTTAAGTAAAAAAATGCTTTTCAAATCAAGTGAATTGCAGCTGAAAAAGCTGGACTGAATATCCTAAAATTTGTTTGGTTATCGGGAAAAACAGAGTGGAGTTAGCGTCACTTTTTTTTCCTTCAACTTTGACAACGATTCTAAAACTATATATTAAAGATATTAATTAAAAACAAAACTTGTAAAAAAAAATTATAAATAAAAATTATTTATTTCTCTAAAAATAATGAAAAATTCAGATGGGATAAATTATGAACGAAATAAAATTTTATATATTATTAAAATTATAGGGATGCTTATTTAGGGATTTATTATTTTTCTGAATAATGGATTCAATTTTAGACTTATGTGTGTGTTCGTTTTAAGTATTCTAACAGCTCTAAATAAAAGTTGGTGTAAATTAATATTTTACTTCAGATAAATTAATTTTTTTATTTATTAATTCAATGCGTCTCGACACTTTCAACTTTTTTTAAAAGCACCTAATAATTGAAATAATTGTTTTTGGCGTATTGTTGAGTAAAAAGTTCATTTTTGCAGCCATTTTTGTTAAATATTATTCCTTTTTGAAACTTTGTGGGAAAATATCGTTTTTATAACAACATTTGTACTCTAAAAGATATTAAAATGAAATCATAGTTTTTTTCTTATAACACTTGTAATTAATTGTCTTGCCTTAAAAATAGACAAAAAGCAACAAACATGGGTGTTTCATTATCAATATATAAATAGTATTTTGTAAAAGTTACTCTTTATACTAAACAATAAACTGCTCAATCAAAAAATATTAAATGCATATGAAAATGATCTTAAGGGTGTATATAAAATTTCAAGGGGCCGTGACAAGCACTTTTTTAACTACGATATCATAAATCACATCATAAAAAAGTAATAAAATTAAACCATCAGAAAATGCAATGAAGTTAAAACTTGTGTGTGACATGTATAAATATTGTTTCTTTTTCAAAAGCCTATTACTCGGAATATAATTATAGTACAATGTTAAAATTTTAATTCTAAAATTACAGTAAAATAACCGTCATCGGTATGTCCATCCAGTCAACCGTAAAATTTACGGTAAAGAACATTTTTTGCTTTTTAGGTTTTGAAACCGTTTACAACTTGTATAGTTAAAAAACATGAATACAAGACTATACTGCTTTTTAACCATTAAAAGCTGACATGGTTTCAAAGCCGTTAAAAAGACATAAACTGGACATTGGAGCTAGGTTTTTTGTTAGGTAATGGGCAATGCAGTTGGTTGTTGTTGAGTTGCATTTTATCGAATGAATTGTGGAATGTGGTTTAATTAGTTTATCCGGTTGTTTCAAATAACGTAAAAGAGGGAAAATACTATGGCGCTGTCGTCTATGCCAGAATGACAGTATCGTATTCGTAAAGTCCAGTGTCACAAATTGGGGAATGCAGAACACTAGAATCTTTTCTTGTGTTAACCATGGGAGTCTAATCCTCATTCTGTTCATCATGAGACTGACAGATTTGCCCTCTCGGCAATAATATGTAATCAGCTACAGGGAAGTAAGTGGCTTTACTAGGTGGGCCAAATTGGTGCGTTAAAATTCTGGTTATTTAACCGCATTAGATGGGAGCAGTTAAGAAACAGTTTTCTCACAGTTAACAGTTTAAATAGTAAATCTTATTTGTGGAGTTATTTGACTGTTTTGCTTTAATATGATGAAATAACAATTAAATAAGTTGCTATTTAACCATTTTTTACATGAAATTTCAAACAGTGCAGTTATATTAGCAAAACATCTTAGTTTTCGTAAATTTTATTGCAATTTGTCTCTGAAAAATACCTTAATTAGGTTGTAGTTGTTGTAGTACATTTACGTCGCACTAGAGCTTCCCAACGGGCTATTGGCGACGGTCTGGGAAACAGCCCTGAGGATGATCCGAAGACTTGCCATCACAATTTTGATCCTCTGCAGAGGGGGTGGCACCCCCGCTTCGGTAGCCCGACGACCTGCACGCGAAGTCGAACACTTTACGGTAGAACAGTTTAACGAGGACCAATACCGCACACCATCGGTAAATTAATTAGAATTTTAAGAACAGTGAATAAGTGAAGTAAATTTAATTATATCCAGCTTAGAAAAATGTAACAACAGCAGAAGCTTTTTACGAAACTCATTTCTGTTAATTTCTTAAGAAGCAAAACTGAAACAAAATATGAAAATCCTTTTATTAAAAAATTATTCCGTGGTAGCAACATACAGTTAATAAATAAACAAATAAACACAATGAAAAAAAAGACGTCCAGCATCATGAATGAAGTATGACTTTTAAAAAATTCCTTGCCACTTCAATTTAAACATGTGAAGTTTTCTTTTCATCTTCATGGAAAGAAAATATTAAACATACGTTGCAGAACAATTTTGTGGAAATAAATATTAAGCATACGTTACAGAACATTATTTGTGAAAAAAAATATTAAGCATACGTTGCTATACAATTTTTGTGAGAAAAAAAAGTATTAAGCACACGTTACAGAAAAATATTTGTGAAAACTAATATTCGACATATGTTACACCAACTTTTAAAAAAGATTACATTAAATTGCTCAACTTCACACGTTTACAAAAGTGCAAGGATTTTAAAATATTTTATTCTTTTGTTTTTACTTAACATGAAACAAATTTTATAAAAAATTAATGAAACGTCCAAAAAAAGTAAAATAATATCCAATAGTTGCTTTAAAAAAATTGAATAGTCGCTTAAATAAATTAATTCTATTAGGAATGTTGCAAGCTATTTTGAACTAGTTAAAAAAACTAACTAGTTTTGTATATAAATGTATCATACATTTATGTAATGAGACTAAATGCTTTTGTCAATCGTTAAATAGCTTACGTAATGAACTGATGGAAATCATTTTCAATGCTTTAGCTAGAAACAATGCGTACATTTAAGATAAAACAATAAATGATTGTAATTCATGTAATCATTTATTTTAATCAAAATTTTTATATACATTTATTTTAATCAAAAAATAAATATTTAAATTTTTAAAACATTTTTAGAAAAAGCTTGTTGCGAAATATTGACATAAATAGCAAATACTGTATTCATTAGAATTTCTACATTCATCAGATGAATGTTAATTTTATTAAAACCTAAAAAAGATCTGAATTAAATAGTAAATTATAAAAAAAATATTATTTTAAATCACTTTAGAAGTATTAATAGCAAAACATTTATTTCGATGAATTAAATAACCAATGGAAAAGGAGATTTTTAATTGAAATTAATTGCAAGAATTATGAAGGGAATTTTTGCGAGTTCTAGCATCCTATGAATAAAATTCCTTCAATTTAATGTGCGAGTTAATAACACCAGTTCATGTTTCTTGAGAGAAGCATTGTGGTTGAAAATCAATAATCAAAGAGTTTAGTATTTTCTCTTGTTTTTCAAAAGAATAAATAAGAAGAAAGTTTTGATGCTATTTTAATTAAAAAGGATAATCTAACATACGTTATTACCTTTGCTATTTTACAATAAGATACGCTATATCACTTATGCCGACATAGCGAGCTTTTTCCGGTTTCCCGGCAAGAGCAATGTAGTTAAGTTTTATTGTACTTTAGAATCCAGTAAAATAATATTGCTTTTAAACTGAACAGTTTATCGTATTCCGTAAATTTAAATAAGTTTGAATTCGTCAAAAACTTTAATAAATAAAATTACATAAAAACTTAGAATTAAGTTTTAAACAATACTTATTATTAGAAGTCAATATTATCCAGAAGCAATACGAATCAATCCTATATTGCTGCAAGATCTAATAATTTATACTCTTCTGGATTTAATAATAAGCATACTTCTGAATCTGTTAATACAGAAACAATCTAAACCCAGGGCAGATCTGAAAAAAGTTTTTAGTAAACACTGTTGAATAAAATCTGTTTGAAAGTTTAAACTAAATGATAAGAAATTTTTGGGGAATATTAAATACTAAGGAAATGAAACCAAAAACATAGCTTGTTTTGGTTGTTATTTAGGTTTAGAAGAGTTAAAATCATAGGAGACCGCTTTTAAAGATATTCAGCCTTTTACATTAATGAGAAATGAAATAGTGCTGCACAAATCTTCACCAGTATTGAAGGTCATTCTAATATTGATGTAATACAAAAATAACAATACAATAACTATTATAATTCAACTACTGTGACAAAGTTACAAAGAATATTCCAGGCAATTGTAGATTAATGACCTACATTTACTTTATATCCTTCGATTTCCCAGTTTCTATAGTCTTTCCTATTAAAACCTATACTTTTTGGCAGACATTTCAAGCTGAGTATGCTATGTACAGAGTGGCTCCGAGGCGATAGTCACATTTCAAACTTGAATAGTGCGCAGACGTAGCAACTTATATTAGTCGGAGAATGAAAACCAGTAGAAGAAATTATATGGTTACCCGCTATTGAAAATCGTATTACTCAGTTCGTTGTAATTAAGAAATCAAATCTGTGACAGAAAAATATTGCTTCCTGGACGATACTTTATGTTTATCAACATGGTGATGGATTCTTGTGACCAAAGAGGCATATTCAGATCATTCAGAAACTTTAACAAGCCATCGCAGATGAAATTGCTTTTATTGATAACGAACTGTGAAAGCAGGAATTCAAGATCTGCCAGAAACATTTACAAGAGTAAGTCAAATTAAATGGAGGCCTTCTTTCAGACGCAATTTTAAAGCAATAAACTCTTTATTCCTGGTAATTAAATAGAATGTTTCAGTGTATGCACCGAAGAGCCATTACATTATGACCACCCTCCATCTATAACAATGGGCTCGTCCAGGTTTTCATGGTGTCTCGCCCAGGAACAATGTTCTCATGGGGCACATTAGCACCCATAATCCTTACAGAACAATCCCTGACGTCTGTTACCTACTTGAACATAGTTGCAGACCAGGTTCACCCATTCATGGCAACGGTTTTTCCTGCGGGAGATGGTGTTTACCAACAGGATAATGCACCCTGTCATAAGGGTCGAATCGTCATGGATTAGTTCGAGGAACATTCCAGTGACTTTCAAGTCGTCTTGGCCCCCAAATTCACCTGACCTTAATTCAATTGAGCATTTGTGGTCCTGCTTGGAAAACCAAATAATTCGTGTTGCCATGCTACCCCCTCGCAATGTGAGGGAATTGCAGGACCAGTTGGTGAACTCTTGGTTCCAGATACCTCAGACTACCTTTCAGCACCTTGTGGAGTCAATGCCACGGCAGGTGCTAGCAGTTTTGAGGGCAAAAGGTGGTCCTACATGTAATTAGCATGGTGGTCATAATGTAATGGTTCTTCGGTGTATATAGATTATACTACTTACTGTTCTTACTGTTTCAATTCGATAATTAAAGGCCGTTTGAAAGATATCAGTCGGCTCGTCGCCACCCTGTAAAAACTGCCTTTTTTAAAGCACCATTGTTAAGAACAGAGGCTTTACTGAAAAAATATTTAAAAACACACCCCTAATGTGAGAAATTTAAGTATTCCAATATAGGATGATAAGAGAAATTTATTTTGGACCCATCCACTTCAACAGAAGGCTCACTGTCGCCATTATCTTCAACTGTTTTCAACTTAAACGTGTGAATATCGCCATCTTCAGATTTCTCAACCGCAATCAAATCTTCTTCCTCTACTGCAACTCTTTCAGAACCCTCGGGTCGAGGCATTGGCTTCAGAACAGCTCGCAGTCCATCGCCAGAACTCGCGTTCTCAGAAAACTGTGGCGCAATCGGTACAAAACTATCTTCTGGCACTTGAGAATCCTCGCCACTTGTTGGAGAATACATTCCAGGGAATATCTTGTAAGCTGTGATTTCGTAAGGAGATGATCCGACCATCTTGTGGTTGGTTTGGTCTCCGGGAGCAATTCGAATGACATTTTTTCGAGGCTGTTGAGTTAAGCTAAACACAGCTTTTTCAGCAGGAGGAGAGGTAACGGTCATTACTTTCTTCCGTATATCAGATGGCATGCCGAACAAATGTTGCTGCGGGGTCGATGCGCTGACCACGGGTCTCCGAGGAATGATTTTTGGAGGAGGTGGTGGTGGAGGTAAAGGAACTGCAACGGGTACATGGTGGCTAGCGAAGTCTCCGTAGCTCATAACATCTGGCGAAGATTTGTTTCGAATCCTGTACCGTCTGACACCCTGCTCTTCTTCTTCATCATCTTCCAAAAGTTGTTTTAAAACCTGTAACAGAATATTTACAGTAAATCCTTGCTAGCATTCTTTACAATTATGCAAATTATTGTTTAACACATTCGCTGCCACTACAAATGATATTTCCATCCTCAGAAGCCGGATTACAAAAAAGGTTTTAATGGTTTGAATGTTCCTTATATTTTACTAGGAAAACCAGAAAAAAGAAAAAAATATTATTTTCCTGTTTAGAGAGCGTTTTTTTCCCGACGCTCTGGAGGCGTCAGTGGCACACGGACTCAACTTGTCTTCATGAGTGCCACTGACGCTCCAGCGCGTCTGATCAATATTCTCAGAAATTACTGGCATATTGCATTAAATAGCAACTTAAAAGGAATAAAACGGAATACCATTCAAGTATATGTAGTACCATTTATGAAATAATACTGAAAATATTTACAAATAATAAGCACAATATTGGCAGTCAAGCACATAAAAAAATTCAAACAAAAGTTTTGAAAACCAACCACAAAAAATAAAAAAATAATGCTTCACTAACGTGCCGAAACAACCTCACCGTTCAACTCCCAAAGCCACACTAAACACAGAGCATATAACTTATCATAGTCGATCGACGCGCTAGTGCGTCGGTGGCAACGAACCTGTTAAAGCAATCGACACTATTGATTCAAATATTTATATAAATTATTTAAGAGCAAATTCATGATACATTGTACAAAAAAATACCGAATCAAATTACGGTAGAAAGTACCGGCACCGTAAAATACATTTTTACTGCAAAATATAATACACTAATTTTTGCAGTAAAATTTATTAAATTAGAGTGATTAAGTGATTTTACGATAATTATTACTGTAAAAATTACGGAATATCAGATTTTTTGTTCCATAGTATGTTCCGGTAACAATGGATTTTACGGTAAAAAGTACCGTCACCCTGAGTGCTCTTTTTATCGTAATTTGATCCGTAGTTTTTAACAGTGTAACTGGTTCCTGCTGATCCACTTGAAATAGATAAAATAATTTGAAAAACGAAGCTTAAATTCGATTATATTTTTCCAATTTAAAGTTAAAATTGCAGGCACCTAATTAACGATAAAATGATTAAATGTAATGATTAATTATTAAAATAATAGAGGGGCATAAATAAACAGCGTATAAAAATATTTTTCAGCTTCTTCAAAAATTGATAGTTAATATCAATCAATGTTTGCAGTTATATGAGTATACAGTTAATATAATTGAAAGTATATGCACTGCATTCGATGTCAAAAAACTTGCACCTATTACGTTAATTACGTGGAATTAAAAAACTAGTTCTTATCCAAAAATATAGATGGCAGCACCTCACAACGGAAAAAATTAATTTAATTAAAATATTTAAATACAAATTTCATTAGGTAACGATCTAAAATACAAATAAACACTTTAAATAATAATAATAATAAGCTGTACAATCAAAATATGGATCTAATAAACGTATTTATTTATAAACATTTTAATTAAAAATATTCCAAACAAACAAGTTTTCAATTAAAGAAAATTTAAAAATAAAGTTAAGTTTTAGTTTTTTTGTTATTTATTTTTGTTGACAATAAAATGTACATATGTGCGTAAGTACTAAGGAGTGTACAATTGACCTACTTAGGAAATCAATTGAAATCTATATAATTTTAAAACCCGGTATACTGCTGCAGAGAGAACAGTCAGAAATTTTTTTCTTAGCGTAATACTGTATAATCTAAGATTCAAAAGTAAAGCTCGGTGATATTTCATAATTTTTAATTGTTAATTTTTCTTTTTTTCTTCTTTTTTTTGAATAATATTTTTCAAAATCTATCTTTGAAAACTAATAAATCATTAAAAAGAAATTATTGAAATGAAGTTTTCGCATAAAAACTATCATAATATTATACTAATATGTTTCGACATAAGAAGATATGGTCAAAGCATGTCTTCAAATGTTTCTTATGTACTTAGCGTCGTTTCCAAACTCCGAGACTGCTTAGTTATAAATACTATACAACCATACATAAATAACCTTCCTGTATATGTATCCTTTGGTATGGTAGCATAGTATACAAAATACTGTTATACTATACCATACCGATATATAAGATAATATATTACCATTCTAAAGGAAATTATTATAAATAATTTAAAGGTCCCACAACGTGGCACAATATGTAATTATGTAAGCATATATTCCTAAGTGCGTATAACATTAAAAGTAAGAAATTGTCTGTTATATATTGTATATGTATGGCTCCATATCTCTCCTTAATACTGACCAATAATATTCAAACTCGATCAGGTATTATATTATAATATATGCATATAATTCTTGTATATGGTAGTATAGTATAACAGTATGATACCTGGTTACCCAGTTATGTTACCTGGTTTGGTGATATTTGTTTCATGAATTGGGGATACTGTTTCAACTGCTGGGTCCATCCAATTTGCTTTTGAACTTCGTCTAAGAATTGGGGCTGTTGCGCAAGGGTGCTTGCTTGTTGACCACCTCCAAGTATTGACCACAAAGTACTGCTGAAGGAATTTTTCTTTTTCTCTTCATTATTGGCAGGCCCTAAATGAAAATAAATATGTTTTATACCATCTCAACTGATTAAGATGTTATTTGTATGATCAAGTTTGTTAAATTCATTTCAAATTTGAAATATTTTTGAATTATACCTTATTTTTTAGACAGATTAGTGCAATCGAAATACCTTCCTTTCTAAACGTTAAAACTTTTTACATCTTAATATTTAATAGCCGCTTTATTTAGTAGTCTATTTAGTAGTTTATTTAGTTTATTTTATTTAGCTTAGTAGTTTAATTCCTCTCTCTAGAAAATTAAAATTTTTAGTCAATAATAAGTTATTGAAGTAAAAAATTTTAAACTAAAATAAATGTTAGAAGAATTTGCAGAAACAAAACAATAATTATGCTTTTAAAAAACGACATGTATGATGGCACGTCTCCTAAGGATTCTTTTAATGTTATTTCTTTCATAACTCCTATTAAAGCTTCCTTCTACTCTTGGAGTACACTTTTTTTCATTATACTAAAAAAGAGTAACAGCGCGACTCATACTCATTTTTCAATAAATAATAATTACAATGAATTAAATTATTATTATTGAATCTACATAAATATAATTAAAGCATAACATATAACATAAAACATTTTTTTTTATTGACATGAACTACTAACTTTTAAGCTTTCAATTCTTCCCAACTTATAGCTAAGTTTATTTAAGCTTTTCCTGGTTTACGCGAGAAAAGAATTTTTATTCAGAAATTCCCAAACATAAGCGTTTGCGCTTTAAAGCTTAAAGTAGTTCACAGGCTTGTTATTTCATTTTTTTGTGGGCAAAGTGAAAAAGAAATTAGGACTTGCTTTGTCGCCGTGTAAAAAAATGAATATACAAATGCTGTATCTCCTGAATGTTTACTTAAAATATATCACTAAAAAAGCATGGAGAATTATGAAAAATCCTACGATTCAATACTTAACTATCACACTGTGATGTAATAACTCTTTACATTTAGTGCTAAAAATCTCCAAAAATTGTGCATAAAAAATTCAAAAAAAATTAAGGTAAAAAATATTGCCACACAGGATGCCAGTACTTTTAACCGTAAAATTTATCACAATTTTTACGGTAATATTTACTGAATGACAGTGATTCAGTAAATATGAATGTAAAAATTACCGTAAATCAAATTTCTCGGTTTCGTAAAATTTTACTGTAAAAATAATTTTATGATAAAAGTATCTGGCACCCTAAGTGCCAATACTTTTCACCGGAATTGTTTAGGAATTTTTTACAGTATACTTTATTTCAAGTTAATTACGAATCAAGCTTTCTTAAGCATTTCAAAGGGTGTATTTAAATCTAAACAACAATAATGGAGAAAGCTCACACGCATTTACACTATTAATGAATTGTTTTTTTTTTTTTTTTTGCTTCCGAAAACGCCGAATTTTGGCTAAAATAGATTGTTTACTATCGAACACAAGATGCTTGTTTGCCCATCTCAAGCTGTTAAATATTCCACGTAAGCACAAGCTCACTGTTACAAAAGACCTGTTGGTTTTTAATTGCGGAGTGAAGAAATTATGGCTCAACGACACCGAAAACGACCTCAAAGTCCTAAAACTTAAGAACTGGAGGGGAGTTGCCATGGACAGAGGGAGCTGGAGAAGGCGTGCTGTTGAGGCAGCCAAGGCCTGCAAAGGGCTGTTGCGCTCCTGAAGAAGAAGAAGTAAATAAATTATGTTCTAATAAGAATATTTACATAAATCTGTCAATTTTGTTAAATATTTTTCTAACGATTTATTTTTATCCACTTTTGTTCTATTAAGTCTAACTCAAATTTGTTTTAATAATTTCTCTGGAGCATGCGCAAGGTTGATAAACTAATTTTATTTCAAGAATCGTTGAATGTATACATTTTAAAATAATAATCCTTGCTGTAATTTGTATCGTATAAATAATTTTATTGACATTTACTTAAATACGTCTTATTGCCATGTTTTTTTTTTGAAGGTTTTGGTGTTACTAAACACCAGAAATAGTGTCAAATACTTTACAACTTAAGAACAGTAATAGGGCATTTGTGATGTTTACTATACCAAGAATTATCCTTGATGTTTCTTTGCACAATTTTTAGTGTAAAGTGCTTAAAACCATTTTTGGTTTTAAGATACACTAACATATTTTTTAGATTAAATTTTTCTTTCTGAGTTGGTAGTGCTTATATATCCATTTTATATATCGTAACTTCATTTTTCTTTACAGTCCAATAAAATTAGACTTTTTCGTAATAAAAATGAATGTGCGTGATTTTTTCATATAAACTTTTTTGTACTATCAGAAATGATATCAAAAAGCTCCTTTATTCTTCTCTACACTCTTCCCCCCTCTTTTGAGGAAAATAGGGGTGATTTGACAGTGGTCAATTAAGTTTTGAAGGTGGTGAAACAGGCAAGTGAATCATTGTTTCCGATGCCTTTCTTCAGGCTGAATTGAATGCGAGCAATCCTCAGGCCAATATTTAAAACGCTCTAACTGCTTATGTACAAAAAGGGCAATTTTTTACTTGCGTTTATTTATACACCTTACATTGCTATACAGACATGTGAGGTATTATTTCCTATGTATTTTTTCTCATTCGATTTCAAATATCTGATATTTTTAGATTCTATTTATCAGGAACTATTATACCGATTTCGGTAGAATATGCCCTTGGTTTAAACATGTATATATACTGCCTCTTTCGTAGAAGCCCCTTTCTACATCATTGAAAAGTTTGTATTTGGGTATTAATGAACTAATAGTAAATTATCGCATAGCTGCCAACATCTTAACACTTTTATGAATGTTTTAGTAGTGTATCTACCACTACAAAAATACAGTTCCAATTTACTAATATATAAAACATATTAACTCCATTCTACACGTTGAGTTCCTTTTCATAGATAAATGTTAACATTGTCGATGTGACTCTCCCCACAGTTTTTCTTAGTGGTAGAGAAATTATTGCATAACTGTAAGCAATTTAAAGAAAAATATTAAATTTCGTCAGCACTTAAAATCCAGTCTAACGCATACCTGCCAACTTTTAATCCTTTCGAGGATGATTTTCCCCGGTGAAATGGAATTTAAATTACAATTTTAGGCAGAAACATGCGCTGTATTTTGAAAAACCTTATGCAGACTACCATAACAGTATTTCATATTATTATATATGCTTAATTTTGTTAAAAATAGTGGTTTTCAAAAAAATTATAAATTATATCTATAAGTGCATGAAATATATAGAAAGCATACATTTTACTACCACTTTAAATATATAAATAACATTTTACGAGTAAAAGTTGGCAGGTATACAAACGGCTTTCGAACTATTTAAATGCATATTTAAAATAATTATATATGTTGACAAAAAACTTTTTTTACGTTAATTACAATAAATCAAGAAATAACTTTGATCTCTCAGAGATCCGCCGAAAATATTCAAGTGGTAGCATATCAATCATCAAAGCAAGTTACATGAACCCTGATTCAGTTACACTTCAGTTTCAAACAATTTACAACAAGAGAATGACAGATATTTGTTGATATGTGTATTTAAGTTACTTAATTATTGTGATGTTTAGAAAATTCCTGATTACGACAATAATTCTGTAACTCAAACCATGATTCCTGAAAGGAATCTTTTAAAAGAACAAAGGAGTCATTTTACCACTTCAATTATTTTGGCGAACCCCGGGAAATCTGAAAATACAGAAGGATGTCTTCTGCTACCACTTTAAATGTAAAAAATATCTTCCGGAACAACTGGAAAAGTTGGCATCAATGACAGTGATATCTGTGTTCTTACCATCTGCTGATATTTGTGGTGGTGGAGCACTTTCCACGTGACCGCCAAATTCTTCATATGGATTGGGTCTTTGAACGAAAGGAATGGGAGCGGAGTACTTAGCTGTATAACCACCCTGAATGGATCTGAGATGGCAGGTACAAGCAGACGGTACTCTGAATAGATCTATATGCAATCCCAGTTCCTTGTTGAAAACCAGAAGACGGTGGTAACTGAAAACCTGAGAGCAAGTTGACTGCATATGACTCACAACGTACTTGCAAGGGTTACCGGACGCTCTAAAAAAGTTTTAAAATAAGTTTTAGTTGGCCAAAAGTACCAATAAAATACGTAAAAATTTGAATACATAATTACCGGCCTGGTAGTTTTAGCTCCCACAATTTTTAAACCGGTAGAAAATAACAATCGAGGTTGACTTAGTTTCTTAATCCCTTTCCGGAACAGAAAATTTTTATTGTAAATTTTAGTCAAGCAGAACATTAACAAGTAAAGCCTTAGACAGGGCTTTCTAATTGAAACTACATACTTAAGTTCTTTGTTGTGTGTCAGAATAGTGGTTGCTAATCGTTTAAAATCAATTAGTGTTACAATGCTAGTCGTTTGTAATTTTCCTTGAATTTGTGTTGCTCGATTGGCTACACTGCACCGGAAAGGATTTATTTATTTATTCACTTTTTGTTAGCATTCATAACATGTTATCTTGTTCATAGAATTTATTACCATTGTTCATACTTTAATTATAAATTCTTTTTTTTGAAATAAATTGTATAAAGCAGTACAGTGCAACCAATCTAGTTCATGCGCCTCTCTCCTAGCAAAGTATTCTTGCTTTCACAGTCAGTGATAGAAAGTTTGCTTAATATAGATACATCGTAAATTCCTCCACCATGTAAGTTCCCTCCAATCTTGGAATTAAATCTATATTATTGAACATTAAGAATGCATGCAAAATAAATATAAAAATATTAATTTGGTTTTATATTTTTGTCACTATTAAAATAATGCGAATAACTTGCAAATTAATCTAGTACGAAACAGTTGGTCAGTTGAAAACAGTCTAATAAAAAAAATACAGCTCCAGAGCGTATACTATAAAAGATAATTAATCTTTGAATAAAAAATATCAAATATATGTACTCAGCCTATACGAGATTTTAGCAGTTGCTGTAGCACTTCTTAGAATTGGTCTTATCCTTGATAGATAAAAGAGCCATTTCAATTTTAATTCCGAATTTGATCTGACCAGGAGATCTTAAAGTTCAAATGTTACAGTAAGTGCTTTACCTTTAATTTTGGTGACATGATCATGCTACATAAATTATGAATTCATGACGAGCCTAAGCAGGTTGCTTTGTTTACAGAAGGGATGGTATCATTAAATAGTACTAGTTGATTGTCTTGGTGTAATTCTTTTCCTATTTTTCTGGATGACGAGTAATTGTGATTTCTGAACATTTACTTGGATTTTTTTAACCCCAGGTTTCAATGCTGTAAATAGTATACCTTCCAACTACAACTGAACTTTTACAGTTTCAGAAATACTATTCTTAATAGTAGTAAAAGTAATAAATTAATATTTTACTAACTTAAAACTAAAAGAATTTTTTCCACTACTACAAAAATAATTTAAACATGTATATAAAAGGTCAGAGAGATGGTGATGTCGGAAGCAGAGAAGTCAACTTGCTCCGCTTTGTAAACAAATATTTTCTAGTGGTTAGGCAATTTAAGTTATTTTAGTCTATTTTTCCACCACTTCATATCAAAAATTCAAAGTATTCTATAAAATGCAACTTTATTGCACTTATCTCGTGGTGACACTTTTAAAAATTAGGAGTGATTATCCTGATTCTACAAGTTTCACTATTTAATTCACTACCAATTAATACGAATTTTTGAAAATTTCTGTTTTAATTCGCTGCAACTGTTAAAAAGTATTTCGTGAAAACCTGAAATGTTGTAAGGTATACACTAAGAGTCAAAAACTAATTTTTAAGCAAGGAATGAAAGTTTCATTTTTCAAGTTTCGTTCAAACAAAAACTTTTCCAAATCTAAGTAATCACAGTGGATCGACAATTACCCTGATGTTCAAAAGTCAAGCATGCTTTAACTCTGGGCATGTGTGTAAAATTATGCTCAATTTTTGGACACCAGTGTAGAGTGGAATAAAAAACATCAGAATCAGTTTGACTACCAGATGGAACTGATAGGATGGACTTTATAAAAAGAAAATTCAGGTAAACCTAGAAAAGTGGATGACGCTTCAAATGTTGAAAAATTATTTCAAAATATCAAAAGGCAAGCATATTATGACAGGATTACTTATGATTACGCTATGGGAAAGTTATTCTGCAAAAATTTGTTTACATTTTAATATTTTGTGAAAAAAAGTTTAACATTTGACTTTCCATTGTTTTTTCTAAGTTCACCTGAACTCACTTTTCTCTAAATTTTAAATTTGAATATACCTATGGAGAGGAAACAGAATTTGTAATGAATAGTTTCTAGCGTGGTGTAGCATCTTCCTAAACATTAATGTTCCTGGTTTATGAGTATTTTTAATTTATTTTTAATTTACTTTTTACAAGTATTCCGAAACTTTTATAAAAGGTGGTGATGCAACATTCAAAACATAAAATATCACGAAGCTATCTGAAGGAGACTCAACTTACAGACATTTTTCCATGCGCAGAGTCTGTGTGTATTCTCCAACATTTACAACAACCTTCCATTCTCCCTGCCTGTTCTTGGCACGATGAGGACGCCCATAATGCACTTCAGATGGACACACAAACCCACCATTTTGCCCATACTCATGATTGCTGGACGAAGCTTGGGCATACGGTCCATAGTAATGTTCTAAAGTGTAAGCCTGTTCTTGTTGACGAGATAATCCCTCCACTTGGCTCTCTCGTACTTTGACTTCGGCGTACATCAGATCAAACTTTCCCTTGTCTTTGTAAATACTACTCATTATTGCCGAACTAAAAAAAAGGGATGGATTTATTTAGAATCGCTAACTTAATACTTCACTTTAAAAGAAACGTTCAGTTTGGTAATCAAAAAAAGTTTTCAATTCAAATCAAAAAAATATTTTTTGACAGATTTTAATTCTTGAACTGTGCAGCCGCAATCTGAAAAATAAAGTCCCTATAGTTAAAGCAAGAGAGCAGCTGGAAGTTAATTTTAGTTTTAGTTTCCCTTACTAATTCAAATTTTTTCGTATTTTGCCATATCTCTGAAACTATTGAAGATAATCTAAAAGTTTTCAACACAATTACGAAACTCATTCATCCAAAAATAATTCAATATAAAAAATAATTTTTTTTTATATTTATTAATTTTTATTTATTTCATGTTAATTTAAATTTTTTTTTTTGTAAAAATGTCTTATTTTTAGAACTATTTAAAATAATCTAAAACTTTTCTACACAACTGTGAAGCTTGCTGTCCTAAAATAATTCTTCATATTTATTTATTTTAATTTAGTTAATGCTAATTTCAATTTCGTTTTAGACTGCATACCTCTGTAATTATTCAAGATAATCCAAATATTTTAATTACAATTGCAAAATTCGTTTCTTTAGAAAATAATTCCCTGCAAAAATATCTTTATATTTATTTAATAATTTTTATTGGTATAGAAATATTTCCATCTTTAATTACATAGTTTGAACAAACATTTTCTGTATAATTATAAGTGGCAAAATCCAAGATTTGAACGAAATCCGGTTAACTGTTCTTGGACAAGGCCATAGCTACTGTTTTCTACAGTTTCTGGTTAAGTATTTGCGACATAAGGATTGTAAACAAGAACTACAAAGGTTGGACAAAAATATGGAAACACTTCTTTACTAACCCGGCATATAAGAAAATTTGTTTCAGCAGCAAATATTTTGGAAAATGCATGGAATGGACAAATATACGGGAATATACGGGAAAACTCTTGGCCCAACTTGAAAGATCATCTTTGAAGCTTTTTTAAAAAAGGGGTGTCATATTTACCCACGCAAAATTCGAATCAACCAAAGTGAAGTTTTATCAACTACTTTATAGTTTTAATAGCATCAATTTTGAAATAGATCTATTGGTTTTCAGCATTCATATTACAATTTTTTTTTAATTATAGTAGAAACGAAGCTTTTAATTTCCTGCGCTCATTTTTGTCAATGCAAAGTTTTGCATTTAAAAAATGACATCATTTCTAAACAGCTTCAAATATGATTAAGTAAATATGCGACCATTTCTAGAAGCAAAAAATCAAATTGTTCCAACAATTATGCCGTGAAAAATCCTCCAAAACAACTGCTTCTAAAAAAAGATTTCTTACACTGAGTTAGCATAGAAGTGTTTCTATATTTTTGTCCAACACTTATAAATGAAAGATTAAACAACTTCATGTTGGCTAATTTTTAGGCATGGAACATTAATCGGAGTGTCTAATGAATGCGTTGTTTTTCCCTTCTTATGTGAGATATGATGCCCTCTGCTTGGCACCAGAAATAAACTGGAGGACTATCAGTTTTAAAATAACGCTGAAATGAGTTGTATGAAAGTAATATTGTGCCTAACTCTGCTCTTTTTCGAAACTGATGAAGACCATTATTCAAATAAGAGCACCACATTTTCATTAAGTAAATATTTTCTTCTTTTAACTACATTTAGCGTTGACATTTGTTAACATTGACTTTTGTTTGCATCGGCATATGTTAACATTTACATTATTTGACATTGTTAACAACATTTTAGCTTTGAACAAATACAATGCGCTAATCTCCTTTAAAAATATTAATAATTATATTATTACTATATTGCAGTAGAAAAACTATTGCCTCTCTGCAAAAAAAAAAATGCTTATAATTTGATGCTTCATGAATTATATCTATGAAGCATTTAAGCTGCCACTTTTTACTTATTTTAAAAAAGAGACCTGTAAGGACTCTATGCATAAATGGGTTAAAATTTGTTAATGTTGCTCAGAGTTCGGCAAAAAAATTTTCAATATTCTGTGCTAAGTGACTTTTGAGATTGAAAACTTTTCCACGTATGTATTTTTGCATAGAATGCGAAAAGAAACTGCACAAAGTAATGCACGTTTTTATACAAATCTTAGTTTTAAGTACCCTATAACAAACAAATTGTTTTCTAACGAAAAGGATTAAATAAATATTCGATGATGTAAATTTCAACTTGTTTGTAATGAAACAGAAAGTAAAATGTGAAAGCAATTCATTGGAAGAAAGAGAATGCTTTAAAAGAGTTTCTTCAGGCGTTTTAATGTATCTTAGAAGTATAAAAAGAGAAAATTGGAACAAATAGCATGTTCAAGAAACAAGAACTAGAAAGAGAAAAAAAAATAACAATAATGGCAAATGGTTTTGTTCAAATGCTTTCATGAATATCAGTCGAAAGTATTCTATTAAGATGAATAAGAAAAATAAACAGATGCGCAAAATCCCTTGATAAAAAAATTGCCTTTAATCTCGAGAAAAGTACCCATTCAGAGGAAATATTCCTGCATAATTTACATTTAGTAGTTTAAACTAAGCCATTATGACTCAGAAATTTTTAGCAATTTTAAATTTGAAATGTTAAACGTTGAAAAAACTAAAAAAAAAATTATTTTTTTACTACTACTATAAATTAAAAATTTTATTTCTATTTTTATTAATATTACGAAAAATTAACAATGTTTACAGACAGCTCTCTCAATTCACAAAGCAGCATAGCGAGAAGCATGGATCCTCAAGAACAGCAAGTGACACTAATATATATATATATATATATATAAATGCGTACATACAGTGGAAAGTCGCATATCCGGAATC